ACATTTTTTTCAAAAACGGCTCTAACGATTTTGATTAAACTCGGTGTATCATTGTATAATTAAGTGGTCTTTAATATAAATTAGGTTTTATCCCCATTGATGTCACTTTACAGGGCTTAAATGCCCAATGTTCATATACGTCTTCCTCTAAAGTACTTTTAATATGGTTTATTTAAAAAAGTTAATTATTCAGAGTTACGAAAAAATGATAAATATAATTTTTGAAAGAATTTGATAAGTTAATAAAGGAGAAAAAAAAAATGCAGAAAAACCTGCGTAGCTATAGACTGTAGCGCCTAAACGAATGTACCGATTTCATTGAAATTTCGCTAAAGTCATTTTTTTATTATTAGTACTCACAGATCAGTATTTATCACTATCTGTTGTATAATATTATATCTATGATATTATAACAACATCCGTGCTGGGCTATGCTGATGATCTGGTACTGTTAAGCGAAGACGTTGAAACTATAAAACTTAATAGGACAACGTTAATGAAAGCCGGGAAAGAACTAGGACTTGAAATAAACGTGGATAAAACAAAATATATGGTTAGCTGCAAAAATGGCGATACTACTGGTGATATCGATATAGATGGTAATATGTTTGAACAGGTAGATAAATTTAGGTATCTAGGTTCTACGATAACTAGAAAAAACGAAATTGAAGAAGAGATTAAGGTTAGACTGAAGGCGGGAAATGCTTGTTATTTTCTGTGACAAAACTACTTAGTTCGCGCCTCTTGTCCCGGAACTTAAAAATTATAATCTATAAAACAATTATCTTGCCTACAGTTCTTTATGGATGCCAAACTTGGCCGCTCACATTAAGGGATGAGCAGCGTCTTAAGGTTTTTGAAAATAAAGTATTGCGTAGAATATTCGGACCGAAGAAGGATGAGTTAACCGGATAGTTCAGACGGTTACACAACGCCGAATTGCGTGAGCTGTATCCGGGTAATATAATTGAGGTAATTTCATCGCGGCGAATCAAATGGGCTTGTAAAGTTGTTGGGATTAGTAACGAGAGAATTCCTAAAAGGTTAATATTTGCTATGCCGAATGGTAAGCGTCCGAGGGGTAGACCGAAGCGAAGGTGGGAAGATTGCATTAAAGCCGATCTGAAGGGACTGGGTTTGGACGGCGAACGGTGGAGGGAGGTGTGTAACAAGCGATTGGTGGTGTCGGCATCGAACCTTCGGGTTCGCTAAGCCTTATTATTATTATTATGATATTATAATTTTTTTAGCCCTGATGATGAACCACAAGCAGGTGTTCAAATGTTAGCAATATTTTTTAAAAAACTAACTGCGCCATGACTATCACCCACAAAAATAAATATAAAATAAAGTATGAAATCAATTACAGATATTTGGGAACGACTTTTATTGTCATTGTTATATCCCTCACTTAGTAGCGATTCACAAATCGCCCAGCAGATAATTGTGATGATGAAAGAAGTTAGACAATAGAAGACACATTGCCTCAGCGAACATTGCCAGCGCTGGTTGAATGGATGCCAAGCACCGAGGGGCGAACAGATGCCACTAAAATACTAGCTCACAAATGGGAATTCCCACAGGGGGTGTTGGCATCCGTTCTCTCTGTGGCCATTCACTATCCGGGGGGCAGTGGGTACTTTATGATCCTCGATGGTTTATGTGAAGATAGACCAAGTTCGGGTTAGTTTTATCTATCCAATAAATGACTAGTAATATAAGTAATAATATTTGTTTCAGCGATTTATTCTCCCAAAATCATTCCACTCAATTACATCATGACGTTTCGGGATCCACTTTTATATCCCATCTTCAGACAGTATCCCACATCATCTTATTATCCATAAGACTTATCATATTATATTATTTTTTTATTATTGTAATATTCCTTGAAATCATATTTTAGTCTCCTCTAGGGAGAGCCTAGTCAGATATTAAATAGCCTTGTATTTGACTAGGCTCTCCCTAGAGGATTCTCTAGAGAAGACTAAAATATGATTTAAAGGAATAGGACAATAATAAAAAATAATATTATATGACAAGTCTTATGGAGAATAAATACACCGACAAGCAAAAAATTCCACTTGATTTTTTCATGTTTTCATCTAAAAATATTTCTACTTTGGATTGGCCTATTGTTTTTAATGAACAAATAGGTAATCTTTTTGTTTGTTTTCAATTAGGAATGTTAATATAGAGGACAATAACCCTTAATCCTTAATTCAATGAAATGATTCTAGATTCCAATGTTCACTTTCTATGGAATCAAAATGTTTATTCAGTATCATTAGTTCAGTGCCGTTACTTGCAGCACATTTCTTAGTCTCCGGTTTTTTTTTTTTCAATATTAAGTTTAAAAATGCCTCTTAGTGCTGAGGATGTTGCGCGTGGTGTGGCACTTATTGATGATGGACATTCCATTAGATATGCAGCTAATGCCATCGGAGTTCCATATGAAACTTTACGAGACGCCGTCAGGCGTTTTCGGGAAACTGGTTCTTACAATAGAAGGCCCGGTTCTGGACGGCTAGGGCCTAGGGTAACAGAACCACGGGATGACCGGTTTTTGACTTTGAGAATTTTACGAAACCGGCACCTTACCGTTGTTCAAGCGATTCCACAGCTCGAAGAAGTTCGAGGTGTGCAAATTTCTGAACGTACCACTCGGAGAAGATTAAATGAGTATGGATTAATGGCTTTTCGTCCAGTAAGAGGACCAGAGTTGACCAGAATTCACAGAGTAACACGGCTGGCTTTTGCTCGAGAACACAGCCATTGGACTATGGACGAATGGAGTGCTGTACTTTTTACAGATGAGTCAAGACTCGCTCTTCGATCTCCAGACGGGTGTGAAAGGGTGTGGAGAAGAAAAAACGAAAGATATGCAGCCTGTAATTTTCCCCAGAGCCAACCTTTCCAACGTGGTTCCTTAATGGGTAACAAGTGGGTGGAATTTTTTGCCTGTCAGTGTAAGATGATGTGGGATACTGTCTGAAGATGGATATAAAAGTGGATCCCGAAATGTTATGATGTAATTGAATGGAATGATTTTGGGAGAATAAAACACTGAAACAAATATTATTACTTATATACCTCGAAAATAAGTATAAGTATCTCCCTTAGGGTAAATGAAGTAACTAGTAATGTTATGGTTCCAGGACAGAAAAGAGGTTTTTAGAATATTATGAATAATAAAGAAATAACAAAAAAACATATTTTGTTGTCATCTCTGAAACTGTCATCAAACTATAACTGCAATAAATTGACTTCAAATCTATCTTTTTTAAGGTCGTGCCTCAAGGTTTCGAACTGTTTAAATAAACCTCGTTGTAATAAATGTACCACTACAACACATCAAGAGCTTCGGGCTCAGTACATTGAAAGGAAGTACTGTTTCAAGTCCTTGTGTAGTGAGGTGATCGGGCCGGGATCGCGCTCAACCTCCAGATTTTTCCATTAACTAATTATTTAATTATGATTTCCCAATTTATAGAGGCTGTATCTGTCCCAGGAGGATCTTCTGACCTTAAGTTCGATCCACGGCCGATGAAGGAGAATAAATAATTACCCGTCATCAGCCGGATTCGAACTTGGTAGCTTTGCAAAGCAGTACCCTACTCACACAGCTTCCTCGCTCCCCTAAAGTATCACGTAAAAAAATGGTAATAATTACATAAATGATGTTTCTGAAATAACCGATCCATTACAGTCAATTTACGGTAACGGTAAAATTATGACTTGAGTTTAACGCAGTATAGGACAGAACTACTTAACTTTGCCTAAATTAAAAAAAAAAAAATAGTTTGAGTTTTTGAATACGGGAAATAATATTATTTTATAGCGGGGCGGGATCACGCTCAACCGTCAAATTTTCTCCCTTAATCATTTAATTATGAGTACCTCACTTTCCATGGACTAGGTGTGCACCAGAGCTCTAGTTATAATATATTTTTTTTCTTTTTTTGTTTCCATAGCCCCTTTTTATTTAGTTTTTCTTGAATCCTTGGATTTTCATTGTCTTCATAATAGTCCTTTTACTGCTTAAAAGCATTGTAAGGTGTATTTTTGTTAATCGTTTTAGAGCATTTGTTCTTGACCTGTAATATAAAAGGTGATGGGTTTCACCTCAGGCTTGAGTTGACCTTATCCTCTAGAGCTTAGCTTACAACTAAATTAATAAAACTTCTATCTCATGTGATTTGTTGCCAACGTTTTGGAATTTTGGCTGGTGATAAGTTGTTCAAAAGAGGGTTTGCCAATTGTTTGGATTTTTCGGAAAATTATTTTTTTCGTTTTGCGAGAAATTCTTATTTTTTTCGTATAATACGATAATTGTTACATTTAAAAAATAATAATAAATTAATCTAAACGAGTAAAAAGGCACCAATATACGGAAAATAAGGTTATAATAGGAAAATTCTAACAACTTAGTCTCTAAAATGAAGGGAAAAAAAATAAAATAACCCGTCAACGTTTTGTCAATTCAGGCTTCATCAGAATAAAAAAAAATTATCTCAAGATGACATCAATCTATGGTATTCAATCAAATGAACCTGCTCTTTCCCGACATCTTCTATACCCACCAGAAATAGCAAGTTGAAGCTAGAAAAACCAATAACAAAGAGTTTCTAAATTACTATAACAGGACATAAATATAAAACATGTTTTATTTCGATGTATCAGCAATATCGATGTTTGAATTTCAGTGGTTTCGAACAATTACGTATATGTTAGATATTTTTGTCACAACAAGCCCGCGGGCCTTAATGGAGGTTTCAGTGTTGTCCGTAGGCCAAAAGGTTTAGAAACTCCTACTTTAGGTTAATGAGCATCCAAATATAGTATAACTACTTATTTCATTATGAAACAAATTTTGTTTTATTAAGAACAGAAATATGGAGGATAGAATTTTCTTTTTCTTTGGGGTGGTTGCCACCCCTACCTAGATCTACTAATGGTTCGAACATGTTCTGAACCATTACACAACTTTAACCACTTACTGAAGGCCTCCTGGTAGAGCTGATTCCTGATTGGACAAAGGCCGGACTCCCTCGCCTGTCTGTCGGCCAATCGTGCGTCCAAGTTTTCAGACAACTTCTCGACATCGGTTCTTGTTGCCGGCTCGGGAGAAACCTGTATCAACATATGTTGTTCTCACGTATATATCAATATATAGAATATAGGTACATATATATTTTATATATGTATATATATATATATATATATATATATATATATATATATATATATTATATTACCTCTTGCTTCCAAAGCTGATTACTATAATGATAAAGCCTCGGTTTGACAATACAGTTCAATATGGCGTGTATCGGAACAGTTTTATTTTCGATACGACATTTTTTTGGATCCTGTGAAAATACATAATATTTATAATATAAATTTATTTCAATACAAAAAAAATATAGAAAGTCCCTAATGAATAATAAAATTGTGCAGTAAAGGAGCAGATTACTTCTGGCCAAAAGATTTATTGTATTAAATAAGCAAGTGAAAAAAAAACATTAATTAAACTAATTATATAACGAACAAATGAAACTATCTGTATATAAAGGGCATAAAGCTGTGTGTATATATTTACATAAAAACGGTGAAACAACTTACTCTTAACTAAGACAAAAGAGAAAGAAAGAAAATAAATTAATTCCTCTTATAGATAAACAGAAACTCTATTCAACCAGAAAAAAAAGGAAAATTGAATATGTTGTTTAAAACATGTTTAAATATGTATACATATACACTAGCGGATCCATAATTTTGGGGAGCTTCAGCCCGAAAGATTTTTTTTCATATACATATGACGATAATTATTTAAAAAAAAAAAAGAATGAAATTAACTACCTATATGAAATAGTGTTTAAGTGGTTCTTGAAGTCTCATTAAATATAAGTACACGAACAAGAATACTTCAAGAGATAGTATTTAATATTTTTTTCTGGAAAACATGGTTATATTTTACCATTTTTTGGGGGCTTCAGCCCGAAAGTCCCCTCCGTAGATCCGCCTTTGTATATATATAAAGGAACAAATTAAAAAAAAAATCATTTGAATAGGCCAATTCTGAACGGAAAAGGAGTTAACACCAAGTTTGTGTTTTTCTTAAGGTTGTCACGTTTTTATTGAATAAAAAGTAATTTCTCAAAAACTGTTCAAGATAACTAAATTCTAAGTACACCATCGTACAGTAGATAACATGTTTTTGAGAAAATAGTGATTAAATTTACTAAGATCATTGATAGAAGGCACTTTGAGTAGGTCTAATACGACCGTTGTGTTGCTACAGTCGCTGTACCCATAAATGAGCAGTATATCTCTGTATTCCCGTTTCGTACACAGCAGTACAGCCGTCGTATAAGATGGCTATTTTGCCAATGATGGGTAAAAGGGAGATAGCCCCAATAGGAAGATAAGCATTCAAATGGCTTTTTTTGTTTTAGTATCATTTTTTACAACGGGAAATTCTAAGAGTGAGTAAAATAGGGGATTCTGGGTACTGATTTATTTAATTAATCGTATTTATACTCTTTAATAGCTAGTATCTGATACTATATGTATTTATATTCAGCGAGCTAATTATTCATTAAATGCCTTTAAAAACCATAGACACGATGACGAAAATAGGTAAAAATGATGAAACAATACTTATTTAATTTGAATCGAAAGTGGTTTTATTCTTCGTTAGGATTTCTCAAATATAATCCTTCCTTCCCTCTTCTCCTCTCCACTAGACCCTCTACCTAATTTTAAGTGTGCCCCACACTAAGAGAATTTTTTAGGTTGCTTCCAAAATTAATCCATTCCAGATTCCAGAGTCCAGACTGGGAGCCTATGTGCACCACTGATCTTTAAGTTGTATTTCTAGACTTAAGTTAAAATTGTAGACAGGCTCAGTCGATTTTTGAATAAAAATTAAGTCAAACTAGTTACCAATGCTTGAAATTTTAAATACTATATATAATACTATATTTTAGATACTATATATAAAATACGTAAAGAATTGGTATATTAACTAAAAAAAATGAAATTGAAGAAGAGATTAAGGTTAGAAAGTGTCTTAAGGTTTTTGAAAATAAAGTATTGCGTAGAATATTCGGACCGGAGAAGGATGAGTTAACCGGAGAGTTCAGACGATTATACAACGCAGAATTGAGTGAACAATATCCGGGTAATGTAATTGAGGTAATTTCATCGCGGCGAATCAAATGGCTTGTAAAGTTGTTGGGCTTAGTAACGAGAGAATTCCTAAAAGTTTAATATTTGCTGTGCCGAATGGTAAGCGTCCGAGGGGTAGACCAAAGCGAAGGTGGGAAGATCGCACTAAAGCCGATCTGAAGGGACTGGGTTTGGACGGCGAACGGTGGAGTGAGGTGTGTAATAACCGATTGGTGGTGTCGGCATCGAACCTTCGGGTTCGCTAAGCCTTTTATTATTATTAAAGAATTGGTATAACTAATTTTTCATTTGGTCTTAGGTAGGTTTCTCTTATCTAAAAAATATACAGTAATATCTTTATAGTATTAAGCTAATACGTAACTACAAGACTGAGTTTGCAAGACCAAGACTCGTCTCGGTCTTGCATTTGGGCAACACTAGCTTAGTTTATCCACTCAAAAGTACCCTTTAAATAGTTTTAGAAATGATAAACTCTCTTTACGCTTAAAGTAAATTTTGTCTAGTATTCTTTGAAGTAACTTTTATTACTTAAATAAAATATTTTTTTAATTATCGTTTCCTATTCACCGAAATATGACACTTAAAAAAAACAACGAATTTAAATCTCTTATTTCTATCTTAAATTTATTAATTTTCTGCAAAAAAAAATCGGACTAATGTTTATACGAAGTTTTTTGTAGCTCTTGAGTTATTTTTTTTTCCGCATTAAATATTTTCCTCTAGTTACGGGGGACACTTGTATAGTGTCTATTGACCGCACCTCTAACCAACTTCTTAAGAGATATAGGATTTTTCTTTTTTAAATTAAAATTATTTCTTCTGTCTGAACGAAGGATGATTTCAATAATTAATTCTAGTTAAGAAATTATTTCAATTTTCAGTTATGTTATATTAATTATTCGTATAGATTTCTGGTACATTTCGGCAGATGGACTTGCATCCATTGTCTATTGATTGTACATTTTATTTATCGTTTATTTTTAATTTTATGAAGTTCTGTGTATGAGGACATATTTCATAAATAATATCCTCACCTTGGTAGTCCTATACTGAGAGATTTAATTGTACATGTTCGTAACATAGAACGTGCATGTTTATGTCATACATAATAGGGAATATGAAAAGTCCATCTCAAACCTGATATCCATAACAAATAGCTTACCTTTATACCAGTGGCGAAATAACTCTCTTTGTCTTCTACCAATACAGGATGTGAGAACTTTATCAATGTGTTGTTCGGTGTTATCAGCCGATTCGCCATCGGGATATATTTACTAATCGCTATAGCAACCGTCTCGACCTTACCATTAATCGATTCTCTTATCTTGCTAAAACCGTACCATTCCCGTCACCGTAGCAGTTTTTACATTTACTCTAAAAAATCTATAAAAAAAAAAAAAGACTAATTCGGAATATTTTATAAAAATGAAATCACCAGACATGTTTTAGTTGTTATTGTTTTGTCTTATTGGACTATTGTTAACAATCAACACATGACCAATGTAGAAAAAACTTATAAAAGCTTGGTTCGTCAAAATATGAAAATTTCCATAGCAAGGAATTTGTATAATACAAATTTTTTGTATTACAGGCTGTTCAATGCAGTTTTGCAAACAGTACGTAATTTGCAGTTTCTATATGAAAAAATCTATTAACTATAGTTCTCCCATGGCTCTCTCCCAATTTATTTCCAAATTAGCCCAAGTTAATATAGGTAGTTCAGTGAATAAGGCACAGGAGTTCTATGTTCAAGATCCTAGGTTCGAGTCCGGCTGTGACAAGTAATTATTTCTTCTGTTAAATCCACCATGGATTAACTCTGAGATCAGAAAATCCTACTTGGACACATCCAGCCTCTATAAAGTGGGTAAGAAACAATACTTCCTTACAGTCTTGGAGGCAGGGCCCAAACATTGAACTCATTGAAGGCAAAAGTTTGAACGTAAATTAAGAAATTATATGTTATCTATATAAATAAAATAAAGTTTATATCTGTACATTGTATGGAATCAACCGGTTTTATGATATCTTTCCGTTGCATACATTGCAGACAACAAATCTACTTTTAAAAAAAATGTTGTCTGTCTGTATGTCCGCATTGCAAAGAAATTTTGTCAGGGGTAAGCTCAGCAATGGTTTATTGCAGACTTTTGAAATCTTGATATTATATTAAGGTTTGCTTGACTTAAAACATAGGCTTTAAATGAAAACAAAATATTGAGTATAACCAAAGTTATGAATTCTTGAGTAATTTTTCTAGAGATCTCGGTTAATTTTGATAATAATTTTTTATAATAAACATATGTTTAGACATTATACAATGTCTAACAAATGTTGTTGTACACATTTTTAGTATTAACGGATTATTCGGAAATCAGGAAAAAAACTCCCAAAAAGTTCACGTCGGCCGTCACAATATTCAGATCAACTTCTAATTTTACACGGATGCAGGTGACTCAATATATAATGTTATTTTGCCAGCGATGAACTCAGCAAAGTTTAAAGAAGTGGAGAGACCACAATATTTTTTAATTAATTAATCAACTCCACAATCTCCTCGCTTCATCATAACTGAAAATTAAACACTTAACAAATTTTAATGGATCGGTGGTGGTCGGTGGTACCTAAAAAAATAGCCGAATAACAAAGTTTTGTTATGACTATTGCGAAACTTTGACTTCCACAAGCCCACAAACACCCCTTCCCGTTTTATTAAATTATATTTGGACCCTCCCCCTCCCTATAATAGAAAATCCATCTCCAAAAAAAAATTCTCAAATTTTAAGTATACATCCGTCAACGACGGGTACGTCAGCTAGTTCTGAGTAAAATGAACCTTGCCTGTCATTCCAGAGCCGCTGCTTTTAAACATGGCGGCTGATTTAAAAACATTGAGGCCAGTAAAATGTGGGATTGCTAACGTGGGCCACCAAGGGAATACTTTTTGCAGCCATAAAAGCCAGATGTTTTCGATCTTTTTATGTTTTTTTAAGTACAACAGCCAAACGGTGAATCTAAGGGGAATACGGAATCTTTATGAAATTAAAGAACGTTAAATTGTACGTCGAATGAGTAGATAAACTTAATAATTTAGTTGAATAGTATGATCGATAACCTCAATCAACGAACGCTGATTTTTACTAAATTTGGCAAAAACTGAGATAGTTACTATAAATGGTCCTACAGCTTAGAGATGACTTCCCTTAGAAAAAAACTCATATAGTAAAAGTTTCAGAACATCGAATTCTGCATCAACTGGGCACCAACAGTTTTAATATAGGTCACTATCTAGACTCAAAATCCATAATATCGGAATATCTGGATATTGGTATCCAAGGTATTTCTGGTTTTCAACAATTGTTTGACTATGGTTTCCTACCATACCACATATCCAAATTATTAAGTTTTGGTACTGGTTCGACGTACAATTTAACATTGTTTAAGTTCTTAAGAGTATATTTAGAAGTTCTAAGTATAAGGGAGGAGGGTGAGTGGTGGGGGGGGGGGTGGAGAGGAGTCAACAGGTGCCTAGATTTAACCAGATTTTGAAATCAATAATTAAACAAATACCAAAATCAAATCTGATCAAACCTTTTCTCTCAACTTTTTAAAAATCAATTAACGATTTTTGTTAAGAGTAATTTTTATTCTTGATCATAAGTGATAAAAATCATTTCATGATCATTATTTTTAAACCAAATTTTTACAATTAACGAAAATAATAATTCTAGAACAATACTTTTTCTGAATGTCTTTGATGTATTTTTAGTCTGGAATAGTAGTTGGAGAATATTGTATTTACAACAGAACATCTTTATTTCCGAAATTCATTCGAAATTTTGTACCACAAAAAGAAAGAAAAAAAAAAAAAAAAAAAAAAAATATATATATATATATATATATATATATATACATAGTGCAAGTACCGCATGAAAAATTGAAGTAAGTTCTAAAATATAATATTAAAAATTGTGTACTTTAATAAGGTATAGGTACATATTAATAATTAATTTAATTACTGTGTAAACGGTGATTTTTATTTTCCGATCAACATTTTTTTGTCACAATAAAAAAAAAAGAATTATATTTTTCCATCTATATATACAACATAATAAGTCATAATAATGGTTTCATACTTATGGCAACATTACCTTACACATGTTACAATAAAGTGGCGTGATTGCTTTTTTTTTTTTACCCAAAAATTTTTTTTTGTACTATAGAAAAAATAAAAAAAGCCTACATAAGCTATAAAAATGAATAAATAACATAAAAACTATATACTGTCATTAAAATGTATAAACCAGATAAAACTAAGCACACAGTCACCTTTTTAATATCTTATAAATTGGAGTGGCGAGTATGTTGCTGTTTTTTTGTTATGTTGTGAAGTTGGGATTTATTATGTTAGGAGTATGTGTTTTGTCCGTTTGTGTGTGTACCGTTTCAATGATTTCTTATCATAGTTTCCTATTTTTTGGATCATGGGATTATCAGATATTGTTGTAAGCTCAAAGAATCTATGTGTTTTAAAATAAATACACTGTTTTATTGTTGGTAGCTGCAATTCTGTTAACATATTATCTATTTTTGTATATCGTGGATAGTTGTTTTTGATTCTCATGCACATTTTTTGAATCACTTCAAGTTTTCTGTAGTTAGACTTAAAAGTATAATTCCAGACTGGGGAAGAATATGTGATTATAGCCAGATAACTGTTTTATATATAACCAATTTTTTTTTTTTTAAGATAATTTAGAATATCTATTGAAATACAGAGAAATTTTGCTAATAACGTTTTTTGCTGTATTTCATTTATTGTTTACATGCTGGACGAAATTTAGGGACTTATCAAGTTTAAGGCCTGAATATTTCACTGAATTGAACCATGAGATCTGTTTGTCTTATATGAGTATGTTATCGAGTTAAAGTTGGTCTTCTTTTAGTGAAAATTATTGCTTCCTTGTCACAGTATAATCATTATTATTTATGTAAAACTGTATCACTCTCTGAGTGATTATTAATTTTAATCGAATCAATAAACATCAAAGATCGATTTAAATTGCTATTTTTACATTGAAAATCAAATATAATAATTAATACATGATTTTGTTTAAAGAATAATTATCGATTTCAAATCCTGGATTTAACTTTTGTTTTAAGAGTTATTCAATTATTTTAGGAAGGTTTTGCTTTCTCACTACCAAAAGAAGCAAAGCTTTACATTCATATGGGTGGCTGAAACTATCTTCAGAATTGAAAAAAATATTTTAAATTTTTCTATTCAGATATAAGTTTTTAAGATAGTGTTAGCTAGGCGTTGACTGCCATAATTTATCTATGTCTCTACTCTTGCGATATAGCCACCACTTTCCTTTAACACTAATTATTAATAGCAAATATGAATAAGAAAAGTTTGGGGTATTTTTAATTTTTTATTGTATTAACAAAATCTTCATGATGAATAAATGTTGAATATTCATCCTCAATTCTTTTCACTTTCTGAAATATCGATGTTTTAGAAAATTGCAAAAAAAACAACATTTAGTAAATGATCTGATGGGAAAGAGACAGATCTAATAATAAATAAATATATTTTTATTTCCAATATTAACAAAACAATACTAAAATACATTCTCAATTATATATGTAAAAAAAAAGTTGTCGAATCCTAAAAATTTATCACATAAAATATTCAGTTCTGCAGGTATCACGTCATTTCCTGCCTTATAAAATTCTAATTTATATAAATATTCATCATTTAAAATATAATCTATAAATTATATTTAATATTAAATACAGACCCTATTTCTAATTAAGTAATTACTTTATTATGTCATAAATATAAATATTATGGAACTAAACTTTTGTGCATATTATTAATACTAACATTTAAAATTAAAAACTTATTTTGTCATAATTTATAAAATAGTCAAATTTATAAAATATATTATAACTTCAAACATTGTTTCGTAATTACTGGCTTAAATTTTACTTACAACTAACAAGTCTTAAAAAGTAAAATAAAATAATAATAATTATATAATAGATGTTTATAAGTCGATGACTCTTAAACATCGCAAACTTAAATAATGGCAGTGATACAGCTGGATTTGTTTGTTTCTTATAATTTATAAATTATTTACACCAATTAAAATATACAATTTTTAATAATAATATAATTTTAGATCCCTGATTTAAAAAGAAAAAAAAATCTAAACTTAGGCCAAAAATTAAAAATAATAATAATAATTAAAAATCATTTGGATTGATCGATATTTAAAATTCTTCTGGACAATTTTGGTCAGTTCTGATGAAGAAAGCACGACTGATCAGATTCCTATCAATGACGCTGTAAGCCTTCTCCATTACTTTCAGCGGTGGATTTTTGTCTCTTGTCAATATCCATGCGTTTCCTGAAAAATAGTTCTCCTTATGATATATTTTATAATTATTAAATGTATATATAAATATGCTCAGATATCAGTATATGTGTAGTGAAAAAATAGTTTTATTATAGGACACGAAAAAGAAGAAAATTAAAATTTACTGTGGAACATTTAGTCCCCTAGGAATAATAAAAATGAACAGTATTTATTGCATTTAAATGTTCTGGTTAAAATCTGGCAAATAAAATGTTTTGGCAAATTGTAATGTCTCTTTATTTATAATATACACTCAAACCAATATTTCGGAAATTCCTTCCAATATTAGTGTTCCATTCTTGAAGTCCATATAAAATATTTTTCATATTAAATAAAATACAATTTTTTTAAAAAGTCAACTAATTATTTTGCATATAATAGTATACTGGTTAAATAACCTGTATTTAATTTTATTTATTATACTTAAGTATTTTAGACTGTAAAAAATCAAAAATAATATGCAGTAATTATTAAAAATTAGAACCTTGATGATGGAGGAGGGATCTCCGAAATGTTGGTTTGAGAAATATTTATTAATAAAATGACATTAAATGAAAGTATTTTTTCACTACATTCCTATATATTTCTGATAATATTGTCATTAATTTAGCACATAAGTAATTACTAAGAACCTTAATTCATATTCTCTAAACCATTCTTATTTTTCAAGTTTCTGCCTTTTCTCATGAAGTTGTGAGAGTCCAAACTTATACTTTGACTTCTTTTATTTAATTTGTTATAATGTAAAACAATTTACTAAAATTATTGCTTACTTGCACTAAACAGTCCGAAATTCGTACATGACCAGACGACTGCATAAGTGTCATAGTCAGTTTCTAAAACCCAATATGGAGCATCAACTGAAAAAATAAAAATAATAGAATATACTTACATATATTATATGCAATATTATATATTATAAATAATAATAAAAGGCTTAGCAAAGGTTCGGTGCTGATACAAACCACTGTACATATCACCAGTACAACCACTATGTTTATCAACCACCATATCAACACAAATTCACGAAATCAGTGTAAATGGGATTACCAATTGGCAGAACAAATATTATCCTTTTAGGGTTTCATTCAACACTAAACCGTAAAAATTTGACACATCCTTTTTAAAAAAGCAGCCATCCATGCTTGCTAGAGGGTGTGACATAGTATTGAATGTCCTATTCATGTATCTTTAGTTAACAAATAACAATTAAACTCCTAAGCAGACCTGTATTACTGGCACAGGCGAATTTACAGGGGGAGGGGCAGGTTTTCGGGCTGAAGCCCCTCCAAAATGGTAAAGTGTAACCATGTTGTTTTATGGTAAAAAATATAAAAAAATTATGTCTTAAAATATTATTGCTCGTTTAATTACATTTAATAGGACTTCAAGAATTACTTGAACACCATTTCATATAGATAGTTAGTATCTTTCTGTTATTCCAAAGTAATTATCGTTATTTTTATGAAAGAAAAAAGCTTCCAGGCTGAAGTCCCCCCCCAAAATTAAATCCTGGATCCACTAGTAATTACTGGTACTGGTGGGGTGATTTAGTCCAGCAAGTGGGCCTATTGGTCCTTTTTGCCAAGCAGAGCTATATTAAATGACAGTAGTAATTTGTGTTATTCATTAAATTAATAACCAAAAAGTAAAAAGAAATATTTTTTACTTAAAATTAAAAAAAAAAAAATCCAAATTCTGCCATCTGGATCAAGTGCTGCTTTCCCCATTCCTAGTTTAGGCATAACTCCTAAGCAATATCAATTAATAATATTTTTTGAACTGAATTGGCCTATATAATAATGTAATGAAATGATTGAGTGAACTCAATGCTATATGTATAAAAAATAATAACCTTAAGTAATTATTAACTATTAATTAATTAAAATGATGAAATGAAACTAGTGTAATATCAAAAGCATTAAATTCTTTAAACAATGAAACTTATGTTAAATCTAACTTTTATAAAAATTTAAAACAACTTAATGTACGTATTTACGTGTAAGCTGGTTGAATATGTTTCTGCTAAATTCTGAACTGTAACTTTTCTTATCATAGATGACATACTTTCATTATCCAACTCATTTTATCTCTTATGCAGCTTTAAATAAATAAACACTCAAAAAAAAAATAATCTTGTTTTGTCTTTATAATTAGAATGACCCAGATTGTTACCTGGTAGGTATGGAAATGTCATATGCATCTGTGCTGAATTCCCACTATTGTTTTTCTTTACTGCACCGTTAACTGTAGACTTTGCACCTGTCCTAAAAAATATAAATATCCATGATAGTATATTGTTTTATTTCGATAAACTTTTATTTCAATCTCTCCTATTGATTTAGAAATAGTACATATTAAGAGTTTATTAAAGAATGTTTACTCATGATTGTATGTACAAGTAATAGCGGATTCCATATAAATCATAATAACTTTGTTTTAAACAACAAAACAAATACAATTATTAAAAAAGTATAACTAAAATACACCTAAAAAAAATACAAAAGTCAAACTATTACAAGAATTCAATATTATTACTGTAAACAATTTTTTTTTTCATTGTTAAACATTTCATTTCACAAATCCATTTTAATATTGTAAACATACTTTTGGAATTATTTGTTGTTAAAACATTCATGGTATATGCTTGGACAATTCACCTATTATAACAGATATTAATGAAATATCTGCAATAAGTTTATAAATGCCGGTATAAAGAAAGGCTATATTTTGTTTCACCATATTTATTTTCCTTTTTCTTCTACATCGGCTACATTTCAGCTATAATGCCATTTTCAAGCCATCTATAACAATCAGTTTCTTACAAAATAACATTTAACATGATATGATAGTGATGTTAGTCATCTCTTAATACAGCCTTAATTTGTATAGTTAAATATGATTTGACCTAAAATATAAACATACAATTGAATTTGTATATTAAACTACATAAACAAAATTTTGTAGTCTGATATTTGCTATCTATTGGATTTAATATTTTTAAATATCTAACTTTCAGCTACTGTGAGCTTGAATAAAAAAGTGGTAAACTGTCCAAGGAGTAATAAGAGAGCTGGAAATAATTTTAAACTTTGTTTTCCAAATAGCCCACGTTAAAGTCTTATGTTGTCAATTTCAGTAAGAATTCATGATACTTTAGTTTTGTGACATTATTACTTTCAATTTTTTTTTTTTTTTAAATACAGAGAAGACATTACATAATTCTCTAAATATTTCACCCAATGATGTCCTTTTTTAAATCAATTAGATTAAATTGAGGTGTATGAATATAAACTTAATTGAGATTTTTTTTTCATAAAAAAAAAATAGAAACATATATCTTTAATTTTTAAAAAGTTTACTCACAATGAACTTGTCTGTTTGCTGATAATGTTGATATTGTTGTCTATCCCATCTGTATAATTCGACTGGACACACTTTCCTCCAAATTCAAAAACTGAGAAGTATCTTTCAGCTTCATACCATTTCCCCATATACTAGATTTACAAAATTATATTTTTAAAAGTTAGAATATTAAATAAATCATTAATTCTATATCATAGTTTAATATAAGAACATTAATGTGTATTTTATATGAAGTTGAAGTATGTATCACTTGGTGTATCGTTTAACTGCTTAATGGACAAACACATTTTTAGAGCATTTTTTAAGCTTTTAATATATATATATATATATATATATATATATAATATATATTATATATATATATATATATATATATATATGTATATATTTAAAAAATAATGTTATGAATGTCTGATTTTTTTGTTTCTGAGTTATTTTAATACAAATGCAAAAACACTTCAATTAGTCAACTTATGGCAAATGAGTATAACATATCCGAGCTTGGTGGTTCAATCGCATTAACTATTAACAAAAAAGAAATGCAGTGTGCAAACTAAACAATTTTTCACTAAAAAAATGAACGAATAGCTATTTATAAAAATTAATTATTGTTACTTATTTTTTTTAATCTCTCTTCTTATTAAAAATTTTCAGTTATTTTAAATAGAGAAAAAGTGATATCATTCTATTGTATAGGGACCGCTCTTTATATTTTTGTTAATATTAAAATAATCTCACCCTTTGAGAATCGAAATCTGTCATTGTCTTCAATTCAGGACATGCTCCTAAGAAAGGTACTTGTGCTTCAATAAAACCCGCAAGGCAGGAGAGTAAAATAATGGTTCGGAACGCCATCCTGAAAAAAAAAAAATCATATTTTACAATTATGAAATATTTCAATTTATAAATTTCACAAAGCTTATGTATGAAATTAAATAGTTGTCAGTGGGTGGCAAATATCTTATCCACTTTACTTATACAAATTAATCTAAATATTTGTTTGTTAATAATAATGTCGGTCTCATTCAAAGGGGCTTCGGGGCTTGAGTCTCCTCTCTCTCCCAAAAATAGGAAATTAATTTTAATTCATTGGTCCATTATAGTTTCTATTATTGATCTAAGCCAAATACTTAAAAAATTACAATATATTATATTTTTAATTAACATTAAATACAATATTAATTAAATGATCAGGTTAATTTTTCCTTTAATTTTATTTTAAGTATTGACATTTATAAGTATAATATAATAATTTTTTCTATTAAGGCATTACTATATAAATGAATGAACCTCCCCTTCCAAACAAAGAAAGATATCCTGAGTCGGCTACTGATGTTGGTTAATAGATCGTATACTTGAGTGCTGTGACAAATAGATTTTTCAATGTTATTGGGATTTATAAATAAATTTTGTTTGTGTATATTTAATTGAAATATAATTTGATTCAAAATCAATATCCCGTGATATGAAGGCACGGAGGTTAAGATGGGTGGGGCATGTAGCTCTTAGCAATCCATCTGGAAGCCTCTACAAAACAATGAATGCCTCAATAGAAAGCGAAAGACCACATGTAAGGCCAAAAAGCAGATGGATAGATAGAATCAACAAAGATGCAACAGAGCTACGTGCAGATAAATGGAAAGAAATAGCCCAAGACAGGCAGAGATGGAGCAGGCTTGTTAAGGCGGCAAAATATCTACATGGTCTGTAATGCCAACGGAAAAAATAAAATAAAAAATAATTTAAAGTTTCAATAACCTTTTAAAGACATTGCTTTGCAACATTACTGAATAAAAATATGAGATATTTAAAGAGAAATTTAAAAAAATTTCTATAAATCTGATCAATATGATTACTCAAATCAGTAAAATGAACAGATAATTAATTTGTTAATTATTTTTTCTCACTGAGCATTGAACTTTCAGTTTCAGTCAGTGTTGTATCTTAGGTCATTAGGCATATAACTTTACCCCTTTAAGAAAAAAAAAAAAAACCCTCGTATGAGACTCTCTCATTGATGAACTAGTGAGCATCCATCGAGTAGGTAAGACCAACTAGTAAGTGGGATTTATTTATGAGGACTCCTTACAGAAAAAATAAATAAAACATTTATTTCAATTTGAAAAAGCATTGTTTCATCATTTTTAATGTTCACTTGAATATTAGCTAAACGAGTATAAGTTTTTTTTTTTTTTTTTACATTACAGTAACCCTGTAATGGGTGCATATATTTCTACGCATACCATCTTGCGACATATTGCGTATTGAGATACATAGTTAGTTTAAGTAACATAGTATTGATATATTACAATTCTTTGAATAATTAGAAAATAAAATAAATAAATCTATATAACAAATTATAGTAATCTAAAAATAATTAAATATAGCATACAATAACTGAAATAATAAACAACAGTGATACATTAGAGATTAGATAGTGAAAAGTAGAATATTTACAGCAGAAATGTGATATGGTAATATAAAAACAAAGGTATAGGAAATGTTGAGGGGTGGTTAGGGAACTGTGGATCATTAAGCTCAGAGAAATCAATTCTTTCCACAAATGCATCCAATTCAGAGAAATATTTTTCAATCAGATCTTTCTTTGAAGGCGGCCATTGGTCTCCGTTCACCATGACAGCAGAGACCAATTTGTATCTGTATTTATCCAGTCTAGTGCAGTCATACAGGAGGTGGTCGTATGTTTGCTCACTGTTGCCATCACATTTGCAAATTTTGTTGTCAGTTAACTTGAATCTGAATAAATAGCTTTTGGCTGCTCCGTGTCCTGTCAAAAATTGTACTAGTTTAGGTGATTTTTTTTTAAAATTATAAATAAGAACAGCAACAAGACAGGCGTGGGACCAAATCTGGGCGACATCAACAAAAGGCAGACACACTTACGAATACATTAAAAATTTAGGAGAAAGAGTATAAGTATTGTATCAAAGTATATTAGCATCAAACATTCTGCAAAAAAAATAAGTTTATAAAAAATATATACATTCTATCATATTCTATACTTTAGCTAGTTAATAAATTAATATATGGTGATAGTATATTAATACAATTAGTTAAACAAATTCCTAATGGGAAAATTCTACTAAAAACAAAAATAAGTTTTCATTTAATTAATGAATTTTTTTTTGTAATTGTTTGCAATGAAATTAAAATTCAATAAAAAAAAAAAATCCTCTGCTGAAGGCCCCTTGGTAGATGGGACAGTAAATGGACCATCATCTAAAACCCTCCAAGGCATGCCACTGGTTTCAGTAAGGCCTTTATCATTATTATTGTATCAGTCGAAGACCAATGTTTATTCTTAATGTTTAAGCCACTGGTCAATCTTATTTGAAATATTAGCCCTAGATTGGTATCCTGTTCGTTTCAAATAGTTTAATGTATGTTTCAAGTAGGGACGTAAATATGGAGAGGGGGGAATTTTATAGTTAAATGGAATAGTAATGTGATATATCTAAAAAACAATATAGATAGATTGGGCTTTAATATTTAAAAATAGAATTTAAATATCAATACATAAAATATTGATAGTTTTCAAATATATCAATTTTTTTTCTTTTTTACTTTGCACAATTATAGATCTTTTGCCCATCTTGAATAAACCTTCTCCATCTCTGCCTATATTGTGCTATTTCCTGTTATTTATTTAATTTCTGGAGCATCTTTCTTGATTCTATCTATTAATCTAATTTTGTCCTTTCACATGGTCTCTTGCCAACTATATACCGTGCCCACCTTAACCTCCTTGCCATCATACTTGTAATTTTTCTCTCAAATCTTTCAACACTATTTTCTAGGGTGCTGGTTAGTGTCCAGCCATATAGAAGAACTGGCTTTATCAAAGCATTGTACACCCTTAATTTGAGATTTTTCAGGATTTCAATACCGCTGAAAGAGAGAAGAATACTCTTTTTGCCCTAGATATAATCTGGTCTATTTCCCACCATTGGTCATTCACTGAGGTTATTGTGGAGCCAAGGTATTTGAATTTTCCTACTCGCGGGAATGATTTTCCTTCTAGGCAGATCCTGTTATTGGGGTGGAATTTTCGACTTATTATCATATATTTTGTTTTGTCTTAATTTCTTGTAGGCCGATCTACTCTCCCTCTCTTATCAGTGTTTTTTTATATGGTTATTAAATAATTTTAGCAGGTTCGTGCGAAAAATTCGCATAGCATATTGTTTTCATATGCCTAATTATTAAAAAAAAATAAATTATGAACTTATCAAAAGATAAAAAAATCAATTGTTACTTTATCGATAAGTATAAACGACAAGGAAAACAAAAATTATTTTAAATCTTCATTAATGTTTGGAACTAATGTTTTTACAAATGAGCTGTATCTTTGCTACAAATTGTCCGAATTCCAGAGAAAAGTGTGTAATTTTTTAGTTATTCGCAAATAGAGTGTGTTTTCTTTCATAAATTGTTTGCCTGAATTTTCGGGTTGATTGGACTATTTTGCCTGCCTGAAGAAGGAAGCCTTCAAAATTGGTGCCTCAATCTTGAGATTTGGTGAAGAATTAACGATGATATGGCTTGCCGATCAAAGACACCATCGATAAATAATATGAACTCCTCCTCTCTCGATCATAGAGACCTCAAGTCGACGAAATGAGACATGTATTCAATGACAATACTACAATTAACGTAAGGTTCTGTGGATACGAACCCTATGCCTTGCGTTATCTCGAAAATAGTACGTTTTCGGGCTTAAAAACGCAGGATCCAATAGTTCCGGAGGAACTATCCGGGTCTTGCTGTACGCATCAAAATCTTCTAGATCCAATTTGTCCCGTATCGATCAACAGACCTACCACCGTTCCTGTATTGAAGTCTAACAAAATGCATGTATCGACTTTATTTATTCTAGAAAGAAAAACCAAAGTGGTGAATACGAATCGCTAACCCCCCGTGAAATTCTGAATCCAACGGTATCCCATTCATGGTATTTGAGCCTGACAGGACCTTATATTTGGTACGAAACCGATTTCGAGCCTTACTGTTATAATATATGTGTGGATTTATATATTTATTTATACATTGTTTTGTTTATTCACGTATCGGTTTATCTGAAAATATATTAACAAAGCAATTGGATATAATATATGTAATATTATTACATTTTTTTTTTATTTGAAGGTTTGAAGCAGTGAGATACACTCACGATGCTCCAAAGCTTCAAAAATGTGCTAAAATCTGTACGTAAAAATGGAAGGTTCCACATAAGATCTTGGAATATGCTGCTGCATATAATTATCTTTGAATATAAACTAAAATTTCAATAATAAGAAAATAGGGTGAGGTGAAATACTTGCACACCTCAACCTCTAGGCCTCAGCTCAACCATATAATCGACTTTTCCTACTTTCTTTAACTTTGGTTTACTTTTTTTATACATTCATGTAGATCACTAGCGGATCCAGGATTTAATTTTTGGGGAGGGGCTTCAGCCCAAAAGCCGTTTTTTTCATAAAAATAACGATAATTACTTTGGAAAAAAGAAAGAATCTATCTACCTATATGAAATGGTGTTTAACTGATTCCTAAAGTCCTTTTCAATGTAATTACACGAACAATAATACTTTAAGAGATATTTTTTAAATATTTTTTTCGATAAAACATGGCTATATTTTACCATTTTGGGAGGAGGGGGGCTTCAGCCCGAAAGCCCGCCCTCCCTTAAATCCGCCTATGATGTAGATAAATTATTATTTTTTTAATTTTTGTTGTTCGAAATATTGGAGGGGGGCGAAACGATATTCTCGCCTCGTCTGTACTTTTATTGTGGGGGGGGGGAGGGTTGCTCCCCGAAGTTCTTCCTCTATGAC